CAACACCTTCAAATTAAACTGTGGCAAGACTACAACAAAATAAGCCTCACGGAGAAAGCATTTTCATACATATTTTAGCACTACATAAGAAACTCTTCAGCTATCTAAGCTTTATGAAGAGACTAAATAAATTTTAAGAATACTAGGTTCTACAAAAATCTCGGTTTTAGTAGGCATAAGATGTATCCTAATCTTTGATAAAAGGTAAAAATCTAGAGAATATAATTTCATCTTCTAGGTTAAATAGGAGAAATCTAAAATTCATTGTTCTTATTTAATTCAGATGTAACTCTCATTTAAATCTAACACAAAGTCTCCTTCCAATTTCGAAAAAATATTAACTAGTAAAAATTAATTACTAGCAGAACAAAACCAAAACAACAAAGAATCTAGCAAAAAATAATCACATACTCACTGCAGAATTAATGGGATGGTGATTCTCCATGAACTGCTCTTTATTGTCCTTGGCATATTCAAACAGTGTATAGGTCATAGCGGTTCCAAGATTAACTTCTACTGCCTCCTGCAACTTGGCTAATATACTCTGCTTTACAGCTGATGATCTACAATGCACAACAAATATATTGCTAAGAGAAAAGTAAAATAGAGAGTAAAATGAAAAAACAATGAAAACAAAACACTACTCACATGGTGTTGTTAAAAAAAGCGTTCATAGATATAATTGGAGGTGTTTGGGGATATGTCTCTGTCCAGGAAATCTCTATTAAGAAGGCTTTGGGATCACCATTTTCACCTATCTGAAGAAAAGGGGAAGTCTTAGGCTTGTGAAAGGTGATAAAAAGACAGAGAAGTAAATTATGATCTTCAAAAGGATGAATTCTTTGCAATACTCATGCTTAGATCAGAAATATAATATTTTGAAAAGTCCACGGGTACAAGCTAAGACTGAGAAGGGATGAGGGGAGTATAAAGCGAGTCTGAGTTTTAATTTAATCCTAGTCTGTCTTAACAGGTTTAGTTTAAGCCCATGGCCTGCCTCACCAACCAGCCCATGAGCTTTTCTAGTACCAAGCCTATGTTTCACATTTTTTTGTATGTTTTCTCCAGTGTTCTGAGAATGAACATAAGACATTAACTGTGGGAAACAGGAAGCAAACAGACAAAAACAATAATCCACAAATTTGAAACACTTCATCTTTATTCTAAATTACCCAACTGCTAAATTACAAGAGGCACAATCCCAAGAGACCAGAAAACGAAATGTAAAACTGAGAGAAAAAAGGGAAAGATAACGGATAAGGAAAAGGAATGCCTTCAGTTGAACAGCAATTCTTGAATAAGGTAAAGATGTCTTTTGTTTCTTTTGCTACTTCAATTTTTCATTTAAAAAAACTTTAATCTTAAAGAAAAACTGAAATAGTACAATGAACACTCATTGCCCCATTTACTTTATCTTTCCCCCTCTTCACCAGAGAATCAAAATGTACTCCCCTGATGAGATTTTTTTCCTTTGGTTTTTGTTCAACCATTTGAAAGTAAGGAAATGTCCTAATACATTTATGGGCAAATCATCCTAAGAAAAGGACATTCTCCTTCATAACCATAAGACCATTATCATACCCAAGAAATTCAACACTGATACAAAAATATTACCTCATACATAAACCGTATTAAAAATTCACCAATTGTATCTGAAGTGTCCTTTAACAGACATCACCCCCAACCCAACAAATCCATAATTCATTCAAGGATTATGGATTGCATTTCGTTGTCATGTCGCTTTATTCTGCTTTAATTAATAAAAGAACAGTCCCCAGCCTTCTCCCTTGCTTTTTAAATATCTTTTGTGACAAAATAAATCCAGCCCAGTTTTCTTATATAACATCCTCAGATGTAGACCGATTGTTTCCTATGTTCAGATTCAAATTAAACATTTTTGGTTAGGAAACTGCATAGGTGATGTGGTCCATTCTCATAGCATCGTATAAGGAGGCAGACAAGATCTTCTGGAATGATCATTGGTGACACTAATCTTCATCACTTGGTTAAGGTGATATTCCCCAGATCTCTTCAATGTAAACCTTTTCATTTTATAATTAAGAAGTAATCTGTGGGGTAACACTACAAAACTGTATGAATACCTTATTTCTCAACAACCCTTCATCTAAAAATTTTAGCATTCATTAATAGTCCTTGACTGAACCAATTATTACAGTGGTGGTGGGAAAATGATGATTTTATAATAAAACTATGGAATGCTTTATGAATTAGCATCTCATCCTTGCTCTGGGTTATGCTAAGCTCTTTTGTGTTATTTTTAGTATATATACTATTTTAAAAATCTATTTTTAAACAGCAATAAGATTTAAAAATTTTTCACCCAAATTATTACTTGATTCGCTTTTATTTTCTGATCACTGACTTTTCCTCCCCATCCTTTCACCCACAATCACGCTCTTACCAACATGAGGCAAGGCTCAGAAATCCTATCAAATAAACTTAGAGATCTGTTAATATACCTGGGTAAGGTGATTACCTGCATAATGAATTTAACTGGCTTATGCTTGTGTTTTAAATAGAGGTAATCAAAAAGCGATAAAAGTTACTTGCTTTATGCAATTACTAAGTCCTTACTCATGGAGCATTTAGGAACAAATTGTCATATGCCTCACACTGTGCTAGGTACCGAAGATACAAAGACAGAGACATCACATTCCTATCTTCAAGGGAGACAGATGTTTAGATGACTCACTAAATTGCAGCAGGAACATGAAAAATGGTTCAGATGAGAACAAAGCATGAAGAAATGAGGAATGGTTAATTCTGCTTAAAAGTCAGAGCAGAGATAGGAGAGATGGCCCAAATATGTACAGAGGAGGCTTGAGTTAGGCCTTAAAGCAGCAGCAGGATAGATAATGTATGAGATGTGAGGGAAAGAGCAAGCAATGTGTCCACCAAAGGCATAGTACTAAAAATAAAATGCAGGGGAAATTTAACAATCCATTATGTCTAAGGATGTTGGTGAGTGGGAAAGTTTGGAGGACAGTTAGAAACAAACAGAAGGATTTTGAGTGTCAAGCTGAGGAATTCAGTCCATGGGCAAGAGGAACCTGTGGAGAAACCTTTTTAAATAAGAGAATGGGATGACTACTTAAGTGTTTCAGAGAGCCAACTATTATTAATAACAGTTCTGTTGGAGGACTAATGGTGGAGAGTAAGGAGGAAGCTAAAGAAAGAACTAAACCAGGGAAGTCCTTTGGGAGGCTACTAAACTATCCTATATGAGAACTGCGGGGTCTGACTTAGAACACAGGCAGAACTCTCCCCAGGTCCTGTGACTGCGAACACACTGTCTCCTAATCTCACGTCTCATTCCTCTTGAATCCATCCTATGGGTCACGTTGGAGTGTCCATGGTACAGCACACATACATGTCCAGAGTATTCTGCATACTCCACTGAATAAATAACTGCTGTTGGTAATAGAGATAATTAGGAAAGTACAGGGAATTCTCAATCTCCCTATTGCTAATGAAGAGTGTGGCAGTGGCAGGGCAAGTCTGAGGTGGCAGCTAGATTCAAATAGAAGGGTCTGGGGCCTAACTCCATTGTAACTTTGGCCCTAAAAAATCCCCTGCTTACTATATACATGGTGATGGTGTCAGGATTGTTAAGTTTGAAAGGGAACTGA